CTATTTTTACTCAAGTACAAGATCTGAGTACTTTTACTCAAGTACAAGATATGTATACTTCTACATTTACTCAAGTACAAGATCTGAGTACTTCTAATTTTACTACAAGATCTGAGTATGTCTACATTTACTCAAGTACAAGATCTGAGTACTTCTACATTTACTACAAGATCTCAGTACTTCTACTTTTACTCAAGTACAAGTTCTGAGTACTTCTATATTTACTACAAGATCTGAATACTTCTACTTTTACTCAAGTACAAGATCTGAGTACTTTTACTCAAGTACAAGATCTGAGTACTTCTATATTTAATACAAGATCTCAGTACTTCTACTTTTACTCAAGTACAATATCTGAGTACTTATACTCAAGTACAATATCTGAGTAGGCTACTTATACTTTTACTAAAGTACAAGATCTGTGTACTTCTACTTGTACTAATGTACAATATCTGAGTACTTCTACATTTACTACAAGATCTCAGTACTTCTACTTTTACTCAAGTACAATATCTGAGTACTTATACTCAGTACAAGATATGAGTACTTCTACATTTACTCAAGCACAAGATCTGAGTACTTCGACATTTACTATAGCCCTTAGCTGCTATGCTTAACACTTAGCTGCTTTGCTTAGCAATTGCTGCTAAGTAGCTGCTAATATTAGCACCTCTGACTTCACCCACCTCGGACCAAAAGCCTGAATATGGTACATAATGTCTCTTAATTCACCACACTGTAGTACCCCGATTGTAAATTATTAGCACTTAGCTGCTACACTTAGCACTGCTAAGTAGCTGATAATATTAGCAGCTACAAAGGTAGCTAAAGCCTACTGAGCAGTTACAAATATTACTTACTTAATCACAATTAGAAACATATCAAGAAACAACTGCAATAAATGTGGAGGGAAACTTTGTTATAAACCAAATAATTACAATATTAAACCAAAACATATTAAATAACTTACCTGTTGCTCAAAGCAAAGTCCATGTGTTGTCATTCATGTAAGTAATTCAATGCATGGGAAATGGCTGCATGAGATCTCGCAATATCTCGCGGGATTACGCACATCACACGTGATTTGGTTGCCGGCATCTGATTGGCTTAAATGTATATAACTGTAGTTACACCAAATGGCCTCCGGGGGAAACAAATAGTTTACACGCTTTTCTAATTTTTGTGACATTGTGGGCCAAGTGAAAAAAAAGCAAGAGGCATATAAGGGGAAGCTCTAGAGCTCATTTATAGCTTTAATATTTGTGGGGCCCACCATTTTGGGCCCCACAATGCACCTGGGCCCCACAACGTGAGTGTTCTCCCTGTTTACAGGCCTCACAAAGTAATAAGAACAAGTGCACACACACACACACACACACGCACACACACACACACACACACACAATCACACTCATTTTTTTTTTCTGACAACCATATGTTGCACTGGCCAAAAGGTGTCAGATACCAGACCCAGGATACAGCTAGGGGAGCAGTGGTGTGACTTTTTCTCACTTTAAGTGATCAGAATCTTACGTGACATTGTTGATATAATGTGTACTTGAGAGCACACAAACTCATTCTCAGTGCTTTGTGATGGACAAGTCCTGCACGAAAGCTCTCTGCGCTGTACAGGCAGGCTCCTGGCCTGCTGTGGACACATTAATCACAGGTTATAATTACATGTCTCCATCTCTTCACCCATAGTCAAGATGGGAGCTGAAATGGCCACAGCTGCTATCCACTCACACTGCAGCCGGGCCTGCTGCCCAGAGTTCAGGTCCTGATCCTGGATCAGCTTACCACTCAGTCACCACAAACTGGCAGCATAACGCAGAAAACAGCATATGTAAAGCTAATTTACTTCTCTTTTGGCGTTAAAGAGTATTATGTTTATGTATATCACATTTAATTCTCTCATAGGAGGGTATGAAGTGCATGTTTAAGATCCAATGTGTATTATTTAATGGGATCTATTGGCAGAAATGGCATATCATTTCCACAACTATGATTTCATTAGTGTATAATCGCCTTAAACTAATAATCGTTGTGTTTTTGTTAGCTTAGAATCAGCCCTTATATCGACATCAGAAGAAGATTCATCATGTTTCCACATGGCGCCCAGAGAAGACAAACTAAACTTTTGAGGAACTTTCATGTTCTTAGGTGTTCCTTTTACATATTAGTTGATTCAGCTCTGTGACAACCTCCCATAAATAAATTCAGTTGCCAAAATATATAAATATTAAGAATTGTTACTTTCAGATGTTTAACCCTTTTATTTCCTATTTATAAATACTTATGTTAGGAGCTCAGGGTCTCAGATGTCTCATGATCTTTATCATGCCTTTGTCAATGATGGCCTTACAGTGTTCCCTAAAAAAACATTAAAATGTCTTATTGTACCAATATCATAATACGTAATTTATATGCGATTCCTTTAATCTAATGGTATATGCTGAATAAAAATAAAATATAATACATCTGAAAATTGTTTAGCTCTTTTTGATTTCTCCTAAGACTGCTACAGTTCTTTGTCCAGAGCATTATTTTTCCTTTTTTTTCAAAAGGTCCATATCAAATCATGAATAAGTGACAAGAAGAACACTTTTATTGGGATGAAATGTAACACTCTGATAGATGCTCCACAGGAGAGTGGAGGGGAAGCGTGTGCAGAATGATGATGTACTGTTTAGGGACGAGAGAGCTCACATCCCAACTGAAGCTTCCTTATAATTAGAAAGTGCGGTTTTAAGCCTCCTTTCAGGGGTAAAAGGAGAGACCTAAATATATGTCTACAGTGGATCAGTGCACATACTTGTGATTTGGTTATTTTATAAAGACAGAAAATTAGATGGTATGCTTGAAATGATACCACACATAGATATTATTTCACTATAACAATCCCATCATAAATCATCTTTTCGTCATGCAAAAATCACAGCAAACCTTCAAATGTCCGCATACAAAATATTGAACAGCAGCCCAGCCTACCACAATGACTACTGCTAACAATGTTGCATATTAGCAGCAAAGACAACACCAAATCAATATTTATTAGCATTATAGAATTGTAACATTCACTTTGCAGACCAAATGTGGTTAGTGAAATCAGATTTTGTTGTTATTCGCCTGCGTGGCTTACAGTACCATGATGTCATGCTCTTTACCTGACCAGCACCACTGCAAGCTTACTTGGATAGTATAGCCTTTAAACTTCGATCTTTGCATAGACATTGAAGTCACATTCTCCATTGCACCCATACTGAAGATTTACCCCAAAACAACCCATCATCTCAATACATTCAAACTCTGTCATCCCAGCCAGTTGTCCTGTTCTTGTTACGCCCGCCAACAACCCTCTCTACAATCAGGCATGCAGGAACTTAATGAATGTCAGGTTGAACTGACACAAAAGTCACACAAATGTCACTGTAAGTGCTGATTCAGCATTGCCACAAATCTGTTATGTATCACATTTGGGGCCAAGTTTGAAGGTGGCTCAACTTAGAATGGAATATAGCACATTTATCGAGATTTTCTTTATACAAAAAAAACCCACTGAAACACTTTTGAGGGAGAAAATATTATGTTCTCTAAATCTGAACCAATGATACATTTAAATACACATTTTTGGGATGGACTCATACATTTGTATAGATTTGATCTTAACAGGACATGATTTGGTATTGTACTGGTGCATTTAGTTCATGTTCATTATTTATGATCTATGGTTTTATTAGTGCCTATATGAAACTGATAAAAACATGCTTTGATGAGCATTGAAATGTTTCAAATATTACTTTGTGGGATCTAATGCACTTTGTAGGTCTCTCATACCCTGATACCAGCATACTTAGAATACATTTTGGTTTACAACACCTTATTTCCAACTGTATACTGTATTTTAATTTGTGAATTATGCTGTGTTGCTGTTTTAATATGTATTTATAATTTTTATTCTTTATTCTATTTTATCATGTTTTATCAAACCACTGTAAAGCGTATTTGAGCACCTGGAAAAGCGCTTTGAAATAAAATGTATTATTATTAATATTATTATTATTATGATTATACATACAGTGTATAGTATCTATTGTGGTACTATTATTCCTGGTCAACATTATGTTTATATGAGAAGCTGCAGTGTGTCTCCATTCTTAATAACGGAACATAAAGTGACTTCATTGTACTTGAAGGTTGTTTTCTATGTCTGATGGAAGCACTTGTATATTCCTAAAGGATTTTGCAATATGCCTGTCATAGTGATTAATGCTGTTATAGTGATTTTTTTTGTCTAAACGACATGCATATACTTGTGTAACTCTAATTATCCCTTTTGGAACATTTTGTAATACAGAAATGATGTGCCCACAGTGATCATTTAGGACCTAATTACATTTTAATATACAACTTAATATCCCTCCAGTAACTTTTTGTAAATCTGTGGTACCGAATAATGGCTTTGTAATGACATCATCCCATGCCCATTACACCCTCACTAAAAACCACTGTCATTTGCCTCCACTGACTGAAGTGGCAACAGAGAAGCATTTCCCCCCCCTCTATTTCTCTTTCTGACCCACACTGTGTTAAAAGAAAGCGGCTTTAGAGGATTAAAATACATTTTGTGGAAGAAGCACAAACAAATAACTCATTCAGATACTGTATGAATATACTTTGATTTGCTGACCACCAGTTTATTTTAAAAATACATTGTAATTTAAGAAATGACAACGAGAGCAGAGATTTTGGGCGAGCCAATATATTGCGGGATAGGAAAGTATGTAGTGTGACGAGGAACATAAAATGCCATAAAACGAAGAGATTTAGGATATTCAATATTTGTTTTGTATGTTATTACACGGAACGCGATACATTGTATGTTATCAACGCTAATTTGTTAATAAATTAGCCTAAATAACCCGCGTCAGACAGAGTTAGCTCCCCCCCATATTGCGTTTGGTACAGCCCACAGCTCCTTTTGGTAGCTACAGCGTCAGGAACTAGAGCACAACATGTTGGAGACCATAGCCAGGCTGTTCCCTTCAGAGTTAACTTTTTAATCCAGGTTTTGTTGCGTTATCACACACAAGGGAAGGAGGCGGAGGAGGTCGGGGAGAGAAAGGGGGCTAAAAAGTCAGTCATGGTATGAGGTTAGCGTGAAATCCGGAGCGTCCACTTGCAACAGAAGCCCGTTGATATTTAACTGTGAGAAGAAGGAGGAGAAGGAGGAGAAGAAGAAGAAGAAGAAGAAGAAAAAGAATCATCAGAAAAGAAGAAATAAGAAAGAAGAAGAAGAAGAAGAAGAAGAAGAAGAAGAAGAAGAAGAAGAAGAAGAAGAAGAAGAAGAAGAAGAAGAAGAGGGAAAAGGGAAGAAAAAAGCGGGGTACAAGATGCAGCTGGCCGCGGTGCTGTGGGGCTCCCTGATAACTTTGCTTCTGAGCCAGAGTCCAGGTAAGAACATTTTGGTTTTTAAACGCTGCAAAGTGGAGTTGAAACTGCATGTGAGGGTGTTTTGGAAAACGTGAACGGTATTTTGCACGGCCGGTTCAAAGAGTGTTTTTGTTTTATTTTTGTCCTTATCAGCTGTATGCATTGCTTTGAATTGCAGATGCAGACATAAAAACCTAGCTTTAAAGTTCCCCCTTAATAGAGAGTGCAATTTAGGTGGTTAAAATAGAAACTGTTGTGGAAAATGTGTGCGTTCATCCTTTTACATTTAAAAAAAAAAAATCTTGTTTGACAACATGCTTGTGCAAGTGGGTAGGGAATGGCCCGTTATTGTTGTTATTGGTATAACTTTTATAATTTCACTTTTTTACTTCTTATGCACTCTTTACCCTACTTGTCCTGCATGCCAGCTATATTGGAAATGTATGTGTAATACATGTTGTATGGCGTTACATTCGGAATAAAAAGGGGTTTTGAAGGTTTTAGAACGGTTTTGTTACATGTGAGGTAGAGTATGAGTGGTGTATGGTCATGCATTATGTGCTGTCAGACTTCCACCTCAAGGCAGATTGCCTTCAGTCCTGGTTGATAAATAAAGCGAATAAAACCCCACATCAAAATTTAGTAAGAATTTTAAGATGTAGATGCCTTGAAAAAGAATGCCTTGAAATGCGCAAAAGTTAGATTTTGTGCCTTGGTTATAATCTGGTAGAAAGTTATGTGCACTAATTTAAAACCTAATTTGTTACTTTTCTACTATGCAAAACATCCATTGACACACATGTCTCCTTGCTATCAGACACTAATATTTTGGTGGTTGCATCCTATCAGTTTTAAATAAAGAACAACAAGCATGCTGGTGTCTACTGTGATTGCAGGTGAACTGAGTTGTTTATCTATGATAACCTACATCCTGCCCCCAGCGGCACTTGTAATGGGGTCTGAGTGATTTCCACCACCCCCTTCCTATGTTTTCTCTAACACCTTGTATTTACAACATGTTAGAACAGCCGCTGGAATGCAAATACCCTACGTAAGCTATTTCTAAACACACACACACAGACACACACGCAGCAGGCTGAGCATCATGCACACACACAGTCATACACGCACGGGTGCTGTGCCCTCTGACATGACATGAAGAGATGAACAGACAGGATAGCAACACTTGTATCTGTAATTGGCTGGTTGGAACTCAAAAGGAGGCTGCTGTAATTGTGATGCCTCCTAAATGTCACCAGGAGACTGTCTCCAAAATGTCAGCAAGATAAGAGTCAATATCCAATTGAAAACAAAAGCCCCCCTGAATGATCCACATCCTATTATAGTTGGCTCTTTCATCCTTTCAGATATCAACCTTTTCCCCCGCCTCCCCTCTTTATCTGGGGCGGGGATGCCATGCTCGTTTGATAATGGACTTGTTCTGTCATAAAGCAATTAAGTCTGGCGGGCCTGTATCATGTCCTACACCGTCGTCGTCTTTTGTGCATGATTCTGAGCTGCTGCTTCTGGCATTTTCCATTGTGGCGCACACCAAGTAGCTGAAATGACAATGTTTTTGTAAGGCCAGTGCCTGGTAAATGGTGTTAATTTTGTGTTCAATGTCTTTATATTTGATTATTATCATGCCAGAAAGTTTTCCCTCTGGGTTTTATGTTTGTCAGATTGGAAAATCCACTGAAATAGCGTTTAGGACTAACCCTCATGTGACAGTCAGTCTTGCACTAATGTCATTATTTTAGTAGCTAGTAGTTCTTAAAGACGGGACCTCATACCACAGCGATCCAGTGGTTGGGAAACTCCAAGACACATGGAAAAACCAATATAGACACATATGTTCAAAGCAAAAACACAATTCCAGTGGGTCCAGAATTAAAATGTTTATCATATTGCCCACAAATATTGGCAACGTGATAAATCACTGTAACCCTGATATATCAGCAGTTTGTTTTCTTGACTCTTGTGTTATAAGATGTGCTTTGTTGGCTCATGGAACGATACATTATGTGGTAAAGGCTATAATTTCTAAGCTGTATACTGTGAATGGCATTATAAAGACCAGCCGCCAGTTCCAGCAGACATTGGATGATCTCGGGCTACGATTTATTACTTTGTGTGTGAGTGTGAGAGAGAGAGTCCCTAACATGTGTCCGAGGTCAAGCTGCCTTCTCAGCTTGGTCTAGTGGCCTTGCAGTAATAGGCGGAGTGGGTTTAATGACGTGTTGGGGAGTGTTTTATACGGTTTAATGATGTCGTCTGGGACACAGGACAACCCTTCACCTAGTCCTGTGACCCTCCTCATTTACCATTCAACTATTGATTGGACTCATAGATTTAATCTGAACCTTTTGGTATTGATCCACTAAAGGCATCACTGAACCTAAGATCACATTTGTTCTTACAGTAAAGCGTAACGGATGTATCTGTCAATTACGCTTTACTGTAAGAACAAATGTGATCGCTTTGTGTTTGCTCTCCTTCCTTGCTCTGAGGGGCAAGTTGCTGGCGGCCTTTGTGCCCTTCCCTGCAGCCTGTATCCCCTCATCGGATTGATTAGTCCCCTGACATTACCCTCCTCATCCTGGTCTAACACACACTCACGCTCTCATTAGTGGCCTTTTCACAGAACCTGCGTGGTTTTGCGTACACAGTGAGCACTTGAAGGTTCAATTATGTATTTGTCTTGCAGAATAGCTCCAACACCACATTTGATTAAGTGTCCTCAGAGTAATTGTGTTGGTATTAATAGTGTTGCAATGTTGATATTACAGAAAAAATCTGCCTACGGACAGATGTATTGCTCGCCACAAGTTGTTTTTGGTACAGATTCCACTCTGCAGGCGACAATACTTTTCTCGGACAGAGAACGGTTGTTTTTGAGGATGGGGCCGTAGCTCAAGGTCTATGAAACGGGACTCCTTTGTACTCTTGGCAGGGTTTGATTGTTTTGGCATTTCTGCACCTTCACCTTCCACTCTGGTGTCTTTCTGAAGTTATTCAGGGGCTTCAGGGGAAGGAACAGGGTAAAAGTTCGTTTAATGGATCTGAGACCAGAGGTGCTGAATGTATGTGATTTTTGTTATCCTGAATGCATGTGTGTGTGTGCCCTCTTCTGGTCTAGCTGGTTGGGTTGGTGTCAGCCAGGCTTTTGCTTTCACCAGGGGAAGGCAGACCAGGCCACCTGATACCCCCTCTGTGCTTTGTATGTCTCTGCTGAGGGGATGGAATTGCACCTCCAAGGTAGCAGTGGAGGTAACCTATGATTACTTGATTTGAAGCCCCCCCCTCCTTCAACATTCCCATGTGGATAAATGTCAGACCCCTTTCTCCCCCACCACTTCGCTCCTCATGTTCCTTCACCTTTCTATAAATCACCTGCCTCTCACCCCACAAGACCAGCCTCCTCTACCAGGACCCCCGGGCAGACTCTCGTCTTTGGGGTCGTTTCTGATTTCAGAACATGATGCCTTGGCCCTTGGGCACATTTCAATTATGTTCACAGCGCTAATATATGTCACAGATGTGTGCTTTGAAAGCACACGAGCAAGCAAACAAACCAAGTCAACCATTGGAGAGCAACGTCTGGTGGTGTAACAAAAATGGATCTGTGTCAAAGTTTAAATTATGTTATACTGTTTTTGCTTTGTGCATAGGTTTTATTTAAATTATGTTTGAGATAATTGAAAGTCCCGTTAAGCCGTCTTGTTCGCTGACCAAAAGAAAGACTAAAGCATTTTAGATGCATTTCAAAATAATGGTTGGATAATTTAGGAAAAGCCAGTGGGTCTGCCGCTCTGGCTGAGTGTGTCATGATTAATCGTAGGCTTGGGGGTTTGATACCGACCTTCTCCTACCTGTCACATGGCAAGTGTCCTTGAGCAAGACACTAAACCCTAAATTGCTCCCGTTGGCGGAGTAATTGGCCATCGGTGGGTGAGTGTGAATAGATGAATGTGAGACGAGGTCCTACCTTCAAGTTTGTCCGCGGCATGATCTGGCAACAACAGCAAACCAGTTTTCCTTAAAAACTACTATCCTTTTACTCGGTTGTATTCAGTTTAGGGTTGTCAAGTTAACGTGTTAACGCACATTTTTTTTAACGGCACTCATTAGTTTCAGAGCCCAAAGGCTTGACGTTGTTGTTGTTATTTGGATGGTGGGGGGGGGGGGGTGCTAGTGAACTGTCAACGGGGGGGGGGAAACCTCGCTGCGTGGAAACGGCCGACTAATCGCAATTAACTATGGACTCCATGCGATTCAATATTTGAATCGACTGACAGCCCTAATTCAGTGTAATGAACATTTATTGTATGAATGCTCAGAACAAAGAAAACATAAGAATCCTCAGGTAACACAATGAATATTCCCACATTGTGGGAATATTCATTGTGTTACCTGTTATTAACAGTATCACTGAACAGTTGTACACACGTGTGTACAACTGTTCAGTGATACTGTTAATATCTTCTGTCTTTAATAACGTTTGCAACATGAAATTCAGGCCACGTCATTGTAGAGTTTTGATTTCAAAAGGGACGTTAATCGTTTTTTAGGCCACACAGTATGAATCTAAGTTCCTCTGGGGTTGCGGATTATTGGAGAGCGTTATAAACTCTGGTTCTCTGTCTCAGCGGGGGTCTGCTGTAAAGGACGGCAAGATAAGCAGGGCTGGAGACTTGCTGTCTGAGCAACACCAGTGAGGGGGGGGGGCAGGGACACAAAGACATTTTGAAGGACACACACTTGTATGGATCCATAGTAACTTAATTCTCCAGGGGCATCACTCTTCCATTGGAGAAAGCATCTTGAGGAACGCTGATGCAATGCTTGCAAACATGGTAGAAGCATCAGAGTGAAAGAATCCTGGCTTTGGCACATTTTGTGATGAAAGGCCTCTAGTCGCCCACAAATGTTTGTTTCAGCCAAGCATTACAAATAAGCCACTTATTCTTATGTATTGTCTCGTAACCACGAGATCATGGGATCCTCTTTGCTGACAAAAA